TTGTCCAGTTTTTAGTTTCCCAAACTAAACGTAGAATTAAAAAAAATTCTAGTTTTTAAATAAAATTGACAAAATAATAGCTAATACTTCCCCGATTGGTTAAAGCTTCAAACAGATTCACAAATTGAAATAGAATTATTTTATGAACGTTAGCTTTGATAATTCGTCCAAAAACGCATCTAAGAGCGCACCGACTTGTCCTTTAAGATTGCGAGCAGTAAATTATTCAAAGCATACATTCATTGGCTCTTCACTGAACATTTGTATGTATTATTCGCATAAAAGATTATTCAAACTATAAATAATTTAGTAAATGAAGTCAGGTTTACAACTATTTCATTTGGTAATTGTTTAACGTGAGCCTTGCCATTTTCATTGTATCTCCACCTTAAAAATGCTGCTGATTAAATAAAAAACTTCAAGCAAAAAATTATTGCTTTTCAGCGAATTATTATTGCAAAAGTGATATGATGCATCGCTTCGAAAAATTCGTTAGTGCAGTTTCCACTAGAAAATTAATAGTAAGTATTGAAATCCATTCAGATCAACTGAAGAATGGGGAGTGTCCATAAAACTTGAATCAACTAGCCTTTGTTCGACCTAAATCAGTTTTCCATTCCGAAACACACTTACTAAAAATGCAACAACGTAACAAAGAAAACTAAACTCGCTCTTTCAATGTGACGCAAAAGTTTAACGGGTTCTGGTCAACTGAAGGCGACAAAACTCATCCAAACGCAACCCCGCCAACTCCCTCCACAGTAAACCGAGATCAAGATCCAGAGAGTCTGGCGAAGCCTCACACCTGGGCGTGCTCACGTTCTCCACCTGTCTCGGAGGAGTGAAAATACTCCTTGGTGAATCGTTTGAGGTTTCCGGTGGAGTCAAAGCGCCTAATGGAGGCATAAATCCAGAGGCGCCAAACATGCTTCCAGACTGACCGAACTGCGGACTGGACTGTCTGGGTCTGAGTGGCCGATAGCCAAGTGCTGGCGGTTGGTGCATTGGAGAGGGCGGCTTAAGGCCGTAGGGGGCCGCATGCTATGGCCACAAAATGGACGCCCGTGATATTTGGCGGGTGTAGCAGAAGCCCAGGGGTTTCACAAAGTGTGTGTCCAAGGTGCGACAATGTGGGCAGGGCACCATGTGACTGTAGTCACTGAAGAAGTTCAAACGTTGCGCTGGATGCAGTACGGGCTTATAACAGGAATTACACTGAAAAAAGGTAATGCCGACTATAAATATTAGGGTTCGGAATCAAACTCGAATAATTCGAATATTCGAAAATCGAATAATTATGTGTAGTCATAACTCGAATATTCGAATATCCGAATATCCGAATATCCGAATACTCGAATAATCGAATTCTCGAATACACCAACATTATCAAACTCACAAGGTGCAAATATCTTTATATGCACTTTGTATACATTTATAAAATAGATTATTCATATTCTACAAGCATTTAAACAAATACCCATATATTTACAAGCAAATGAAAATAATAATATTTACTCTCCTACTAATGAATGTAAAATTACGTCTCTGTGTTCTGGTGATACGCGTCATCAACTTTAGCGCGGTGTTACAATTAATGTGCCGACAACGGCACTTTTTTATCCGTTGCGGCTACTTGCCAAAAATGATGAGATAACCATTTTTCTTCTTGGAAAACGGTGAACGGAAAACGAACACTCGAATATCTAACGAATACGAATAGAAATACTCGAATATTCGAATATTCGAATACTCGATTATTCGAATATTCGAATAATTTTACTATTCGAATACACTAAACTTCGAATATCAGAATTAAATTCGAATATCAGATTTTAAAAAATTCCGAGCTTTAATAAATATGTATTGCCGAATATCGGAGCTGCAAAGTCAAATTACACAAAGTTAGATGTTAGATCATTATCAACTTCCTAACGATTTTTTTGGTCAAACGAACAGTTCTTGGGCGCTCAAAAATAAAATTTCAGATGACAAGATGCCGCATGGAAGATATTAAGTACATATTCTCTAAAGAATCTTTTAAAAAATTCTTGGTATTCAAGAAAAAGTGCTTAACTTTGGCTGATCTAAAGTTATCTGAAACGATCTAGAGCAATGTGGGACACATTTTGTCCTAATACTTAATACAACATACTAAAATTTTCTACTTATGAATGCTGCTGCAAAGACGTTGTTTCTACAGTGTTGCGTGTCGTACTACTAAAAACACAATTTATTTTGAAACCAGTTTTCGTGTAGATTTATTTTAAAACTTCTAAATTTTAGTTTCAAGTGAAGTTTTCGTTGTAGATCAATTCTATATGGCTCAAGCGCAGTCATGTTTCCAAAACATTTTTCTTGGGTATATTGCCTCAAAATGTTTGTTTTTTAAAAAGATAAAAAGTGTTCTATTACAAACTGATAAGAGCTCTTATTTCACAATAACAAACGACTTCTGTATCCAAAAATAATCAAGAACTATCACTTAAAGGGTTTCTTTACTACGACACACTCAACCTAAAACAGCAAAAAAATCCAATTGGCAAATAAATTAATTGAAAAGTTACTTCACTTTAATCGTTAGTTGTACATGTTGTGTGTATGAATACAAAATGGCAAAAAATCCCCGAGTGTTCGGTTTTAAAACTTGTCAATTTTTTGAGTTTAACTTACATCTCAATTGTAGATAAGTTCTATATTAGACTATGAAGGCTTTCACGGCCGGTCAGATTACATTTAGGAATGTTTTCCGGGCTTTGAAGCCGTGGTCTATCGGAATTTCTTCCTGACGTTTCGTCCACATCTGCGGTGGACATTTTCAAAGGCGATGAGGCAGTGGGCGAAGTGATCTCCCGTGCTTTCCGACTAAGAATGATTCAACTGCTGGATTCAGTCGTATTTATGCAGCCCAGCCGTGTGTGCTCATGCGTGGGGGATGGGTGGGGGTTCCAACGCTTCGGCGCACATGCTGTTTGGCGCAAAACGCTCTTCCAATCTGGATTGAGTGCCGTAATTTCTTCTTTTCTGTTGAAATTGTTTTGGTGTTTAAATATTTCGATGGCCTCCCTGGTGAGTCTCGGGTA